TTATTTATCATTTATTTTATTTATGTTGAGCATAAATTCTTTATGGTGTAAAAGCCATTTTAATTTGACATATCACACTAGTGATTGACATAAAGTTATTTACTATCGATATTGAAAAACAAAAAGTCGATTAATTGAAAGGATACTAGAGTAATGATTTCTTTATATTATTTTGGATATTCATTGAATTGTATTGATTAAATGAGACATTATCTTTTTCTTTAGATATTAATTCTTTATTAGTTGGTTGATTCAATAAGAAATATTTAAATTACTAATGAACTAACATTGAATCGGTACTAGTCGAGCTTAAATATTTATTTGCACATAAATATGTTTGTTTATTAATAATAATAGTAGGTATTTGTTTTACGTTACGTTACTCGATTTCGTATCAAGTAAACAGATAAGATCAGCAACATCGCTTAAACGAAACTAGTAATATTGACAAACAATATAATGTAAATAAATATATACAAAATAAAAAAATACTATCAGTACAATAAATGCTATTGGAACTTATCCTGAACGGATTCCGATGATTTAAAAAGTACCTATTGTTGTTAATGGTTCAAAATAATAAAAAAAACTAATTTTCTGTTATAATATTAAGAATATAAAAACAGACTTATTACCACACTCATTATTATAGTATGACCGTTTAAATTAGTCCTCGCCCGCGCGGTACATTGGCGCGGGGTATAACGACAAAGGGGACCGAGAGAGAGGCGGGCGGCAGGCGCACGCGCATGTGACGAAATGCACACTAGACAGATCCTAAGATATGTGACGTCATAGTGGATAACGGTGAACAAATTGTGATTTTTTTTATTTGAAAATCAATTGATGATTACATAAAATTTTAAAGAAAGAAAATGTAACTTGTGTAGGTAACTAAATAAAATATTTAGTAATAAACTTTTGTACTATTTATTAAATACAAGAATTATCAAAATTATAAATCAATAAGTGATTGATTTATAATTCTTGTATCAATATTCATTTAATTCATTTAATCAATACAATTCAATGAATATCCAAAATAATATAAAGAAATCGAATGTTTAAGATGTTTTGTTTTTTAACTTTGAGTAAAGTTGAGGAGTGGGGGCTCGCCACGTCACAGTTTGGCAGAAAACATACCACAACGTGACGTCATGCGAAATTTCAACTCCATGTATTGTCGTAATTTTATGATTACGAAAAAAGAAAAAGAAAACACTCAACCTGGCGGACAAAGAAACAAAAATTTGTCGTCATCCCTACTATACCATATCATACTACATTATACTATATAATATTATATTATACTATACAATACAATACATATTACATTACATTACATTATACTATATTATAGAGGCAATAAAAGCACCCTGTTTAGAAAATATGTCAACATCATTGCTTTTAGAAATCCTATTATACAATCTCTGCATACGGTTAACTGCTGAGAAATGACCTAAATTACTTTTAAACATTTTTGTTGTAAACAAATTATATTTTGAACGACGTGGTAATTTGTAGGGGGTATTAAATCCGATTTCCTTTAAAAGTAAAGGACAGTCCAATTGACCATTAATTAGTTTGTATAAAAATTTTATTATTTTAATATAATTCGCTACTTATTTTTTTGCAATACTAAGCTTGATACTAAAAATAACAACCAATATATAATAAATAATTTGCCGAGCCAGTATATGTTTACAAATGTAATGGAAAAGGTAGTAGGGTAGCTATGGATAGGGCAATCCACAAAGAGTCACATTTAATTTTTCTTTAAAAATATAAAGAATTTATTTAATTTTACAATGTACTAATTATCTTATATTGTTGTGTTGTATTTATTGTTTATTATTCTGCAATATATCTATTTATTTATCATATATTTTATTTATGTTGAGCATGAATTCAGTTAGGGTCAGTCCAAAACTATAACAGATCTAATATTTAATGAATGACTCAATGAAACGCACAGATAATATTTGTAGTAAAAAAAATGTTTTATATATAAATGAAATAAAATTATATCATCAAGCAAAACTCTTGACACCGCCATGCACACAAAATTATAACACCATTTATTAAGAGCCATATGACAAATTTGCAAGAAAACATCGGGAAAATCTGTGATCTGATATTGACAGATCGGAGATTGCAGACACGTCAATTGTGTATGAACGAACCCAAAATATCATAGTCAATGAACTTGGATTTTCTAAGGTTTCTGCGCGGTGGGTACCCAGATTGCTTTCAGTCGAACAAAAACGAATACGCCTCACGATTTCTCGCGACTGTTTGGAAATGTTTGAGACTGATTCATAAGATTTTTTATCCAGATTTGTACGAGTAACAACGGATGAAACTTGGGTACACCCCAGAGTCAAAACAGCAATCCAAGCAGTGGAAAATACGTGATGAACCGACCCAGAAAAATCCAAAACAATTTTGTCAGCTGACAAGGTGATGACGTCAGGTTTTTGGGATGCTAAGGGTCTCATTATGATGCAAAAGGTGAAACTATAAACTCGGTTTATTACTGCACCTTCTTACGTCGCTTGCGCGAAACAATCAAAGAGATAAGGCCAGGATTCCTCAGCAAGAAAGTGTTGTTCCATCAGGATAATGCACGCGTTCACACGTCTGTTGAATCTATGGCTCAAATTCGTGATTGTGTCTTTGAATAACTGCCCCATCTAACCTATTCCCCCGATTTGGCACCTTCAGACTCTCATTTATTCCCAAACCTAAAAAAACACCTTGGAGGTCAAAAATTTTCATCAAATGAGGAGGTCGAAGCTGCGATGGGTGACTTTTTTAAAAGCCTCGAAGAAACTTTTTTTATGACCGGTATACAGGCGTTGGAAACCAGATGGAAGAAGTGCATAGAATTAAGTGGAGATGACTTGGAAAAATAAAATTACTTTTGCTTATATTTTATATTGTTTTCTTGCTGAGGACGCAAACTTTTGTATCCACCCACGTAGATATTTCATCCGAGGTCTAAATGGCAACAATTATTTGGTACTAAATTATACATACTCTACACCAGATATACTACACCTTTCTCATTAAAGAAAAGAGAAAAGTCAGTATGAGTTCCCGATCTAAATTCACAGAACACTTCCTGTTTGAGAGGGTCATCAATCAATCAACTGTTCAAGTAACATTACCAGGATATTATCATGCACTTTTGATTACTTTTATATATATATACATATATTTTATTTAAGATCTGTAAAATATATCAATTTTTCATTTTAGATAGCAATTAAAGATAGAAATATAAAGAAAAAATATTTAATTAACTAAATAAGTGGTATAAAAATATGCAAAAATGTACTTAATTAAACGATCAATATAAAGTATACCTATTTATAAAAATCATATAAAAATACATTTCATGTATAATTCTCACAAGTACAATATGTTTATTATTTTACTGGCCCCTAATTAAATATAAACCCATAAAATTACTTTTATTATTACTATTAGTCATCACATCAGACAATCTTTTATAAAGGTAATAATAATGTCATAACATTCAAAATAATCACAATAAGCTTTATAAAGTGAGTGATAGAAATTATAATTTGATAACATTCTGAGTTGATGTTTTATTTACAAATGTGTGACAATCGTAGGCAAAATGTTATCCACGTTTTCACTGTTTATAATTAAGTTTATAAAATTTATATATATATATATATTGCACTTTTGAATCTTACAAACAATCAATACTCTACATACATGACTTAAAAATTGCTTAATTACATATGAAGCAATAATTCCTCATTTATTTTGTAATAAATGAGGAATTTAAAAGTAATTTTTCTAATGGCGGCTATGTCCAATTTTACATCCGCTAGGTAGCGCTAGTATGGTTGGGGTTATATCATTCGTCCAACTGCCATTTAAATACAAATATAAGGTTTGGTTGCACCAACTTACTAACAAACATGTCAAAGTACCGGTTAAGCAAATGAGTTGCATCATTTAGCATTTGACAGACGAAGTCATAACTTTATCTATTAACAACACCCACCCAAGTTATACTGATTAAAATTATCGATTTATTATGCTTTTTAATTATATATAAAAAGAGGATTGTCAAATTTGACATAAACCTTAACTTTAATTGCTCATATGGTCCATCTAGCCGAAGTATACTAGCACAATTTGTTGAAATATGATAAAAAATAAAGTAGATAGAAATAAACAATTATTAAGAAATGGGAGAAACTCATTTTTCAATTAAAAAAAAACACATACACACAAAATTGTATGTGAAGTTGTCTAATATGAATTTTAACTAAGATATTAACTTGTTGACAGCTGACAGGACCGTTAAACCAACTAGCGCCATCTGCTTTTAGCTTTTCAAATTAACACCCAATATTAGTTATTTACAGATTCTTAGAAAATAAATAATTTCTTATGTGTTAACATTGATGTTTTATTAAAATAACATTTCTAAATACCTAAACGTAAACCACTGTTAAAATGCATTAAGGAATGTATAAATTGTAAATTAGTAGGTATTTGAAAAAAGTAGTTCTCGCAACTAAAACAGATGTCGACGTAATCTGAGACATTTGCGTCCAACTTGGCGCGAATTAAAATATTTTTTGTGAATTATTGATTAATTCACCATCATATTTTTGGCGATTCTAGTTTCTTTTAATACAGACAAAAAAATATTGCACTGTATATTATTTTTTTTATACTGTGTTACTTGTAAAGAAATGTAAAGTACTTAATTCTATTTTTGATCCATTTTTTTCTAACATTTTTAAAAAGTTACTAACGTTGTGCCGAACCTTAGAGACACTTTTAAAGCATTTGAATTATGGCAATACAAAACAGTAGAGGTGCTCCAACACCCAGACCCTAGACAATATAAAAAGTTCATAATCGACATTGATTCGACCGAGAATCGAGCTCCGAGATGGCGACACCTTAAAACTGGTGCGAGACGAGCGAGAGACTCGGCTCGTTATTTACTTTAATAGTTGTTTATTTTTTGTATATACTTGCTCATCGTAAGAAATGTGTAGATAACTAGTCTGTCTATGGAATTCTCTGTTGATCTGCATTATCCCCATCATCAATTAAATTCGCTACTTCTTCACAAACTTCATTAATATTCGGTCTACATGTATAATCATGAGTTAAACACTTTTTAGCTAGTTCATATATTTCATTCGCTTTAGACCACGGATTAGCTACAGGGTCAAGTATGTCTTTATAATCCACACGGGCTTTTTCCGCTACATAATCTTGGAGGTTTATTATCTCTTTATTTCTACTCACTAAACACTGTAAACCAGTAAGTAATTCCAGAATTACAATACCAAAACTGTATATATCAGCTTTTTGGGTGACGGTGCCTCTTAAACGTTCTGGAGACATGTACGGAGTAGTGCCCATGATGGATGGGGACACTAATGTTGTCTTGAACTGTTTCGCTAAACCGAAATCGCAGAGCTGAAAATGTAAACTGGATTCAGTAATGGTAAATACTTATTGCAACCTCAATAAAAGATTTTTTAAGTTTATGGTAATGTTTAGTAATGATCTTGTCCTGAGGCTCAGTCTCGACATCAATAGCGATACGATCGCAAAGTATTGAATTTCATATATTAACGATGATAATTGCTTGCGTTAACGATCGTTACTTCAAATGCAAGTCTCTATTACCGAGTTACCGAGCAAAATCTTAAACTATACAGACGACAACTTCTCGAAAATCTGTATTCATACACTCTAAAAAATGGAGGCCAACAAAGAGCGATTTTCTCTTGGTTGACATAATATTGAATAAAACAATTACTTATTTACATAAATCAACTAAAGCTGAAACATTGAACCAACTAGTTAAAGTATGGTTAAATTAAAAATTTGGTAACCCTGATTAATTCTATCAAATATATTTATCGTATCTATCATTACTGGATTTTTTTGTGTGAATCGATTATTTTTAATAGTTAAATTTAACAACTAAGTATGTTGAAGCAATTTATACAAATTAATCAAAATAAATAGGTAAAGTAATAGATTAGACGATTTTTATTGTTGCAGTAATAAGTTCTCGTATTTGGTTTAACAAAGAACGTTAGTAGAACCAAAAAAACCCTTTGTTTTTCAAACAACAAAGACTATTTAGTCAATTCAAAAACATGAATGATTAATGGTAACTACTTGACATTATTGGACTAACTAAAATTAAGTTGTTCATGCTACTAACAATGTATTTGCTAAAATAATTATCAAATTCTGATTGATTTAAATACTGTCTTATATGAATCAACTAAGAAAAGCGAGTGCCAACAAAGAGTGACTTTGTTAAATCCACACAAACTTATCAAATTCACTTTTCTATTGCGTGAATATTGTTATGAAAAAGATTAATTCAACCAACATGTTGGTCGATATTAATATGAAACACGCCCATCATCTTCATAGGTGCCCGAATAGTTTTACAGTAAACTATAGTAAAAATAATAAAAACCATCTTATTTAATGTATCTAACATCTTGTCAGGCTCATATGGAACCAAGATGCTTGGTCACATATATCACAATATTGTTTGATTTAACAATTTTTTTTTTTAGAGTGTAGTGCAGTTTCTTAAAGGAGAAAATGTTGCCTCAGAAAAAAAGTATTTTAATAATATTTCAATCTAAGGAAATCAGAACAACGTATTTTGTTTTTAAGTAATTATTTCATGTTAAATTTATCAAATTAAATTATATAAAAATTTTTTACTACAATATTATTTATTCTATAAGTATAATTTATTATTAAATGTGTTAAATCAATTCGATTATTAATATGTTTCCTTGCGACATCTTGCTATCATCGATATGTCAAAACATTATTGTTTATCACGCTTTGTTATGCTGTTTTATCACATAATTTATTTAACTAATTTGTGCTGTGAGTCATGGTGGAGGATTTAGATTCGGAGTCGCATGTGCAACAAGCTCCACGTGCTCCAAATCTTGTTAAGTACGGACCTTTTTTTTTACTAATGAAAGAATACTAAGACTAAAATAAACATATTTTTTTCAGACGTAAACGCTCGACACGAGCGCTAAGTAGTCAAGTGGACGCTTTGTTAGCCAAATTAGATTTGAATACTTTTGACAAGGCGGTTTACCGGGCTACAAAGTCGTGAGAATTTTGACGCGGCATGGAAACATTTGGCTGCGGAGTTAAACAAGACCTTACAAGAGGTAGATATTGCAGAAAATATAGCTCCACCAGTAGCAATACTCAGCGTTACAGAATGCTTACAACCATCAACGTCGCAGTCCCCTCCAATATGCAAGTTAGTATTTATTAATAAATGACTACATCCACTTAATCTCAAAACAACTGCAGCAAAGAACATAGATTGAAGTATATTTTTAATAAATGTTGAAAAAAAAGCCAATATAAAAATTTGTACTAAATAAAAGCTTGTAGCATATAAATGAAATAACATAGAGTATTGACTGTGTTTGATTTCATACTTTTTTCTTTTTATCTCTTAGAGTATATTACTAACCCAATACTATTTATTTTAGTATGTACATATTGGCACTACAGCTCCCAATACTCATACTCATGAGGTGCAAGAAGGAAGAGAAGTTAGTACAATCATCATGTTTATACTGTGATGAATATAATAAATATCTAAAGAGATATTTTTGAACAGTTTTTTTAGATCTTAATTCTCGCAGAAGTGGCCAGAACTCAATTTCTCGCCATTGCAGAGTCAAATTCGGAACCAATGAAGGTATGTATACACAATCTTAATTAAATGTGATTTTGTTATGTATTTGAAATGAATTAATTAATATACAAGAAATACCCAAAAACACTGTATTTATATCAAAACTCAACATGATAGAATATGAGACTAATTAATAAGGGTAAAGGGAGTCTGACATTTATTTAGTTTATTTGTTATAGATGCTGGCAGCTGCATCAAAATTGCAGACAGAGGCTGCAATGAAGCTGGCAGAAGCTTCATTGATTCATGCACAGGCAATGAGTGAAATAGGGGATGCACTTTTGCTTCTGGCCCAAAATATATAACATTGAATTTACAACTTATATGGTCATTTTTAATTTATACATCTACCTACATAAAATTTATCGAAATAAAAAATAATCTTAGGTATAGAAACGTTCGATCAATCTTCTTCTAATTCTATATAGCATAAGAAATTCCGTCTCATCTAAAGTCAAAGGATTTTAGAGACATCGCCTGTTTCTGGATATTTGCCTCACCATTAGGTGTCGATGTTCGAGCACTGTTAAATCTAATGCTAAATATGCTTCAGCCATCACGTTTTAAATATCTTTATGACTAAATTTCCGATAAAAAACACCTCGAAATTCCGTAAATATCAAAAAAAAATGTTATTAGCGATCGCAAAACCCACTTATCGCGCTGACAAATTTGGTAGCTAAGGAGCTAACGAAATTCGTTAACTTGACATTTGAACTCGCTACGCTACCGACAAAAATCGATAACTTTAAATGAAGAGACTTGCAATATTCGTTAAATTATCGCTATGAGTTAGCGACTGAATTCGGTAACATTGCGATCGCAAACTGTGTCGAGACTGCATCCCCTCCTAGGTTTTAACTTGATTTTAACAAAAACAAGTTTTCTGACCCTCGACCTTCAAAGATTTACTCTATATACTATTATTTATCATTCCAACGTAAACGCTATTTAACACTACTATTATCACATAATTTAAAATACTCTTACCTTAGGCTGATAATCTCTTGTCAACAGAATATTGGCGCTTTTAACGTCCCCATGAATGTAATGCATGAATGAATCTTCAACGCCATCCTCAACTTTATCATCCATTGATGAATCTCTGTTATGAATATATTTTAGGCCTCTCGCAGTTCCCACTATGATGTCAATCCTCTGTTTCTCCGTAAGCCTTTTGGCAGCCAAATTCTGTTCCAGAGACCTGCCTTCTATGTACTGACAAACGATACATAGAGATGGAAAAGATGTAACCTCCTTTTGTATACTGTACCCTACGATAGGTACAATATTCTCATGTCTCAGCTGTGCAAGACATTTTACTTCAGCATTAAAGGTTTGACTAATAAGATCTGGCTTATCACTAATGAGACTCAAATTTTTTATCCTTTTGACAGCCAGAACTCCATGTTCCGGGTGCATGCCAGCATATACGTCACCAAACGCACCGCTACCTATTTTCCCAGTAGGCCCAAGAGGTCCATAGATGAAAACGTTGGAAAAATTACTGGTGATCTCTTTCAATTCGTTATAATCGAATTGTATTAAAGTTTTATTCTCCAGGATTGTGGTATCAATACGGAAAAGAGGAGGTGCTGGGTAAACAATAGATTTAGTTTCTGATTTATCCTTCATGAGTATGTCAAAGTTAGGAATGCAGGCACTCATGTCAGTATTTTCAGAATAACGAGAACTGTATTCCCGAGTGCTGCCGTAATTTACGCTTTCTTTTGATTTCATGGACGCTGTAGTTCTATCACCTATCGATTTTACTGGTTTGGAAAAATTATCAAAGTTTGGAAAACCCGACGATATCATTTGGGCTGTAGACTCAGTTTCTTGATTACGTTTCTTGCCATGTATTTTCGTGTCCTCCTTTAAGAACTTTTCTATATCTGTTTCGATTTTTGCTGCTGGACCTGTATTGGGCCTTTGTGGTGGAGCTTCTGTAAATAATTGAATATATATATATGAAATATCTATCTATAAAATTTCATTACTTTTTGCCTCTTCCCCGTCTTAGTCACAACTGGTCATATTCGAGGACACCCCTTCTCTAGTATGACATCACATATTTTTCAAATTTACATTTAGAACCGTGGTTCATCGCTTTTATTTACATTTAAATTATTTTTTACATACTATTAAAAACAAAACAAAAAACTATTGATTATATTAATTAAATAAATTAACAAAACAAAAAATATTAACAGAACTTTTTAAAACTTTTCCAAGTTGTTAACTTCTTGGTCAATTTGTGCTTTTCTCCAGTATTAGCTACACTGTATGTTTCATATAGTTTACGGAAAAGATTATCTAAATCACTTTTTGTTCATTTTTAAAATCACAAAATAGCAGAACTTATAACGACGTTGTTTCATCCTCAAAAATCAGTAGTAAAACAATTGGTATCTCATATTTACACACATATAGTAGTATACTATGTTTTTGAGGTTTTCGTAAAGTAATAGTTTAAAGTTCGTATTTTAAGAGCCATATGAAATGTCAACGGTGATTATTGCGTTAAATGGTAAATTTAGTGGTCTCGATCTCAGTAACAAAAATATGTTAATAATTTTGATTTATTGAATAGCGTAGAATAGCTCTCGCCGTAGTTTGTAATGACTTCGGTTTTCGGAGATTTTGCTTAACTTTTTAATTAAACCCAAAATAGCAGAGTACGATTTTCGTAAAATGCGCGAAGACACTTTTTTGAGTTCCTGGACAGTAGCTCAACTGTTCTAAACAAATGAAATAAAAAAAATAGAATAATATTTCTTATATAGTCGTTTGGTTTGTAGTGACTTCGAAATTTGGAAATAACATAACATGATAAAAATCACATTATAAACCAAAAAACTTCAAATATTGTTTGAAGTTAACTGTGATTTCTTGACTTGTGAACTAAATTTATACAAGAATAATGAATAAAGAATTCAGATTTTATAATTTTTAAGCATAAATTTATAAATAAAATATAAATGTAAACGCAAAATTACTACAAGATGTGACGCACGGGCTGTCTGAGTACTGCGCGAGCGCTCCTCAACGTTGGACTAATGTCGAAATTCTTCGCGCCATAGTAAAAAATAGTACGCCAAGCGAGCGGTAATAACAGACCCAATCAATTTGAGCATTACTTTTCATAATTATGGGAATAATTTGCTGGTTGGTATTTCTTTCTAAATCGTATTAAAATCGAAACTGATAAAAACGGTTTTTGTGGGTAAGTTTCTGGGAACCCACCACTTTTTTCGTGTATTTTTCTGTAGCTAAATATACAAATAGAAACATGAGAAGGAAAAAATACCCTGTAACATAAGTGCAATCTCATCAGCAGCCTTATAAATGCCTGCTTGGAGTATAAGATTCTGTAATGTTGCCAGAGTAGGTCTTATTCTACCTGACGTCCCCCACTCATCAAACAGTACTTCTGCGCAGGTCTTACTTGTTCCTTTAGCATGTTCTTCTATTATCCTAAAAATAATATTCAGCTTATTAATGTCTGAGGCACAGGCCTGGATGGCCATGGATGAAATCATATCGAACAGGGAGTATGATGGAACAGATCAGCCCAGTGTGTATTGGTAACATTTATTATTTTTGAGACCATTATAAATATTGGATTTTGCATATTCATTTGTAATTTTCCTTAAAAATTGTAAATGAATCAGTATATGTAATTACAAATTCACAGAAATATGAAAAAACAACAAATATTTGTGGTTTTTTTTTTATAATCATTAAAAGGCTTTACTTATTTGCTTTTCATATTCTTACAAGAATTTTTGTGAAATGGTAAATAAAAGCTTAATTTCATTGTTTTTATTAGCTATGGGCTCACTCTTGATATCAATCCAGCATGGGGCATGGATGAGATGTACGGTGGAACGAGCTTGCCCAGAAAAAGAAAGAATTTGATTGTAATTTAATGTGGAATGTCTTAAGATTACAATGAACATGTCATGTGTAAACAATAACCAGTGAAGAACCAATTGTTTTATTTATAAATGTACTAATACTTCATAAATTTGCTAATTATAAATTATGCAATCAATTCACAATGCTATTAATGCTATAGACACAGTTTTATATAAAATAAAAAACTTTTTGTCATTTTAAAGGGTACAAAGAAATACCATACTTTCACACGGGGTCGGCTTACATTATGCATTTGATTTCAAATGTAATCAATCTAAATGATGTGTTCATTTTTTATAATAATTGACAACTTTATTTGGAAAGTAAGTTTTAAACTGCAAACAAGTTTCTAATATCTGAACTCTATAAGTTATAGGGCTGTCAAATAAAGTAAATTCAGCTTTATTACTATTTTCCATTTTTTTGTCAAAATATTGAAGTTTTATGCGTGTTCGTTGTAATTTTTAGCAGTAAAAAAATATTACTCATAAAATTATTAAGTTATGTGCAGTATCCTGGTGAGAAATAAGAGATATATATTTTTTTATTTGACATCAAGTTGTGATGAATCTAATTTGCTTTGTTTACATTTATTCTTCGTCGAATTTGGCTGGTGTATAGTACCTATAAAATTAAATACCAATTTCCTTCAATATTACAATAATTATGTTACCTCATCTGCTGACTGTTATATTTAGGCTCAAACTTCTCTGCATTCGGATCTTTGGGTATTAGTGACATCACTTTCCGCCAATCTCCATTGGTTTCTAGAGTTTCACTGATCCTGTATAGAGATCCCGTTGGTAATTTACGCAATTCTTCATATTTGTACATATTTTTGTAAGATAAAAATTCAGCTTCCAAAATCAAGTAAACTACAGTAGTCGATATAAAAAATTAAGTTTGTAAATAAAATTTATAAATTAACAAACAAAAACATACGCCTAATGGATTTTTTCGAGACTGACTGACGTATGTAGGATTGGGCAAAAACTATCGATTTAACAAAATATCGATACCTTTTCTGAAATAAATCGTTTTTTCGATATTTATTTTCAGATATCAAATTTGTATCAAAATCGATATATTTTTTATCGATCGATTTTGATACAAATTTGATATCTGAAAATAAAGTTCTGCTGTCTGCTCATACGTCGCATCATGTATTTCTTAAATTTAAAAAGAGTAGGTAGGCAGTAGGCTTTAGGAATTTAGAAATAACAGTCTATGATCTGCTTGTCTTTATTGTTCCTTTATGACAATAACACTGCTTGTTGGTTTGGTTGGTATCACTGAGAGTGCTCCTGATGTTAATATCAGACAAATACTGATTTGTTTGAATAATGTAATTTTTGTTGTGTTGATGATGTTGTATTCTTGGCTTTATTTACCAATTTTAAATAACAAAACAGACAGGTGTATATTTGCTCTAAAATTTCGAATACTTTGTCAATTTTTATAGATTTTTAATCCCTACCGACATGACATGCGTGAATGACATGACGTGTGAAACCGATTTCTATAGATTTAAGCGTAATCCGAGTAGATCAATTATGATGGGTCATTTATTAGAGTGGCTGGACTACAATATTTTTCTAAGTAATACCTATAATCTAATCTCAGTAATGTCTTTTGAAACATCTTGTGATTCTTAGTATTTTCAGATTCAAATATTGTATAATTTATAAATAAATCACATCAATTCAATGCAATATATTCGTATTTCATTTTGTTTATCTGTTCAATTTAATTGACTACACTTATTAGTAAATTAAAATTTCATGTATATCAACAAACTTAATTATCGTCGTTGATACTGCAATTTGTCTTATGTCAAGGCCACCCAACTTTTCAATAGAGACTTAAAACATTCTAATTCCATTTCTAAATAAACTATTTTAATGAAATTGAAATATTATGCTAAACTATTACTAAGATATTTGGGGGTTGGTTATTTTCATGATATTTTCAGTATTTTGGAATAATTTCCTGACTTAAGACAATTTGCTTGCTCAAACTGGTTATTTTACTATTGACAAGTGACATTTTGAAATTTGTTACCTATGATATGTTTACAGTCTCATGATGATATTAATAAAACAAAGCATTTATACAAGCATTATTTATTATTATATAATATGAGTACACTTATCAATTGAATCGTGACAGTTTTTATGTTTCAACAAGTCATAAAAAGATCTGCATTCTTCTGGGATAAAAGCTTTAAGTTGTTGAAGATGAACAAACTTTGAAACTTCAATTTCACATGGGCCATCATAGAGAGGTTCAAGCTGCAAAGGTAATGTAACTTTTTTCGGACGACTGGGTAGTACAGTCCATAAATCTTGGTGTTCAAGCTTGTAGTTAATAATCCCTTTAGGCTCACACTGGAATGCACAGACATCTGTGACACAAGGATCACCAGCTTTACTGCCAAGTCTGATGCTGGTGTATATCTGCTTGTTATATTTGAAAAAATCCTTGTAACTTAATGATGTAACACTATAAAGAGATGGGCCTCCTCTTGCAGCCTTGATAATGTGTACATAATCAGAGGGGATAAAATATCTCTGTTGCGGCCTAATTTTCGCTGTATGACACTGTGAACATTATCTACCTCGATTTGGGTATGACCCACCTCCAAATACTTCTGTTCTATATGAACATTTTTTAACATACACAACTCTAATAAGCCATTTGAAAGCTTTGTATTGCGGTTCTGGTAGGTGCAGCCATCACTCCAAATTATTATTTTACTCGGCTTGTAATTTTCAATTTCAATTCTTAAAAATTTAATTAATATTGATGCAAACACGTCAAGACGAAAGCCTTTAATTCGTGCGTGTTGCCAGTGATGACATACGATACTGAGACGTGGCCGCTTACGATGGGCCTCATAAGGAAACTCAAAGTCGCCCAGAGGGCAATGGAAAGGGCTATGCTCGGGGTTTCTTTGCGAGATCGAATTAGAAATGATGGGATCCGCAGAAGAACGAAAGTCACCGACATAGCCCAAAGAATTGCGAACCTCAAGTGGCAGTGGGCAGGGCACATCGCTCGCAGGACTGACGGCCGTTGGGGCGGTAAGGTCCTGGAGTGGCGACCGCGAACCGGGAGACGCAGTGTTGGTAGGCCCCCCACAAGGTGGACCGAAATCTGGTCAAGGTCGCGGGAAGCCGCTGGATGCGGGAGGCGCAGGACCGATCGATTTGGAAATCTTTGGGGGAGGCCTATGCCCAGCAGTGGGCGTCTCTCGGCTGAAGTGATGAAACACGTCACTTTCGAGCCCACCATTACCTTCATGCCATAGAAAACCATGCACATCTTTCATCTAAATTTTCGCAACAAAGATACAGATTTTTACAAAACTGTATGAGGCTGGTTTAGCTTACTATGTAAATATGTATTTCATATCATTACTCGACTATTAATTACAGAAAAACTCACCATCAAGCTTCAAAACACTTTTTCAAATCACTTTCACAACGAACTTCTCTTTGGCAATTGACATGTGACAGATTGCAGTATCCATAGTGTTGCCAACCACACATGTTACAAATTCGCTTAAGAATGCCTACCATGTCAATGTTTCTCCTTGACTTATGACATTTTGCCAGAATACAAAGATAACGAATCTGGATACTTTTGCATTAAAAACAAAAACAATTTTTTTTTGACATGTGACGTTTTGCAGTATCAACGACGTTATATACTTTGGGCAGTCGCGCAACCGTAACACAAGACGTAAACTTAGTAAATTTCTTTTTTTCTTTTATATTTTTTTCCCTTAGTGTGTTTATATTAGATTTAGATTTTTTCAATAGTAACACATGTTCTCAAAATGAGAGTGCTTTTAAGAATTAAAAAAAAAATCGAAATCGTTTATAGGACCAAATATGAACCAAGAGGATAAGTTTTTTATGTGGCGCAATGTCATTATTTCCAGATAAGAAAGCAAAATGTTAAAGTTAATTTTTTAACACTTCGCCTGCTAAGCGCCTGGGGCCCTTACCTTGAATTGCAATTTTTAAATTCTGTTTGCTTTTTAAGTTATACTTAAACGCGTATGGCATTCAAACACTGTGCATTCTTTTAAAGCTTTTAGAACATCAAAATTTACCTGTATGGAAGTTTTCATCCAGTCTGCCTCCGTCAGTAAGAGATGCGACTGCTCTATCATTTTTTGTGTAAGTGCCTTTAAAGAAGTGGAAGTCTAGGCTGTTAAGGCAATGGTCCCTTTTTGTAAAGAAAACTTTTGAATGAGGAAGTATTAAAAAAAAACATTAGTTCCCGAAATATACTAGATGTCGCTACGGTACGTTCTTGATTTCTCCCTGACAACCCTTACGGTTTTTTTTCATGTATAAAAGTAAATTAGTTTTCAAAACTCAATAAACAACTCATATTCTATTTGTACTTTTTCGTATTTGTATTAATATCGAAGTTTCGAAGTTTTCAAATTTCAGTTTTTTAATATGTCAGTTAAAAGGAACGGAAATGACTGTCTTTGTTCCATTCGTTTCCTGCAAAAATTAACTTTTGCTATCGCAATTTTCGATTTTCGATTTTTTTAGGTTTTAAGTAATTTAAAATTCATGTTTGTTAAAACCTTTTTTAAATAAAATACGTTTACAAGGCTTTCAGAAGGCCTACTCCTGGTCACAATAGGAAAATGTCTTATTGTCACTTCAATGATTGCGATTAGATTTAGAATAACACTTTATTATTAAATTAAGCAAAAAATATCAAGGTTACAAAATAATGACACACATATTACTAATATAATATCTCATGTAAAAATACGGTTGAATCTTTAAATTTTGGACAATTGATATACATTTAATCTTAGGATTTTCATTTGATATTAACTGTGGTTATATGTTGGTTTTTTACGATATCGATATCGCTGTTTCTTCGATATCGATATATGTCGGTGTTCTGATATATCGTTGCAACCCTAAATGTCGGTCGGACGGAGTGTCAGTTCAACGTTGATGTTTTTTTGCGCGAATTAAAAATATTTATCTCGTTATTTAATTATTCTATGCATTTAAAGCATTACGGTCTCAAAAAGTATCATAAAATAGTATATATTTTTACAACATCTAAATTAATACAGGTACATAGGTCACAGTGTTTTTGCTCAGTGCTACATCATTCAACTATTTCGGTAAGTAACTTATTTCTGTATGGTTTACACGAGTTTTCAATGTTCTATTTGCTTGAAATGCAAACAGGAACTCTGTTATATAGTTATAACTACAGTTGACAGTTAAAATATGTGTAAGAATCGCGAGTTTTAATATGTCGGCTCCTACTATTTATTTATGTAATAACGTGTGTTATATCGATCGCTCGATGCACATGTGATGTTGATAATGTCTGCTTGTCATCATACGGTGGTGTTGATTGTAATTAGAGAAGATGTGGTTGTAGATTCTCACAATAGTCTGACCAATGTTATGATATCACTGTCTTCATTTGAATTAGACTAGCTATGGTTCCCAAGAAATATCTGGTTTTCAAACACGTGCTAAACCGAATGTACTACTAAAAAAGTTCAAATAGTTATTTATTAATTTATAAAGGTATATTTAACTTAGGAATTGATTTCAAAATAACATTACTTTTTATGGTAATATATGAAATCCAATTAGAAAAAACCAATACTCTGCATGAAATTTACCCAAGTTAGACAATTTCTTGTCATAATTTGACAATTTCTTTAAGCCTTTGCCCATGCCTATGATATTTCAATATTAAATATTGAATAAATGGATCTTGAATGTATAGTAATTAAAAATGTTGAAATTACATTCAATAACCTTATTTGAATAAAGAATGCTTTGATTAAAAAGTGCTATCCATAGTTTAATATTGTCAATATAGAAAATGTTGATTTTGATAATAACAATTAAAATCCAGTATTGATGCCATTTTCAAGAAATAATTTTATTTATCTC